GCTTTTTTCCCCTCTTTACTGATAAATTTAATTGGCATTGAACTTTGGTTCTAATCACTGCCATAGCACAATTTTTATCTCAATTTTAGTTTTAATCATTTTAAAATTTCCTTTGTAATTCTTTTTCAACTCAATGACAATTAAGTAAAATGTTATGTAGTTTTCAATCATAAAGTTTTTATATCATTTTTGTTATTAACTTTTAATATTATTATAGTCAGAGAACATAGTTTGCATGACACTGATCTCTTGAAATAAAATGAAGCCTTCTCTACAGCTTAATATATGAACTTTTTATTTCCTATGTGTGTGCATAAAATAAATTTGTTCTCTGTTTTGTGATTACACAGTTTCATATTACTCAGTTACCTGGCTTATTGATTTGTTCATGTCTTTGATATTGTTATTTATTTGTGTGCTTGATCTAGGAATTTTGAAGAAAGGTATATTAAAATCTAAATTTATAATTAATGACACATCAATTTCTCCATGCAATTCTGTCTGTCATTTCTTTATACAGTTTATAATTATATTTTTATGTACATTTATACTCATAAGGAATCTTCCTGCTGTTTATTCCTTTATCAGTTTATAAATCCCTTTATGACTTTTATAATATATTTCTTTTCCAACTATTAAGATCTCTTTAGTTCATGTTTACCTTATATATTCTTTTCCAGATTTGCATTTTCAACCTTTCTTGGCCTTTTTTTCATTTTAAGCATGTCTCTTGCAGAAAACATACCATGGAATCTTACAAAAAAATCCCTGACTTTGTCTTAAAATGGGAATATGAACTATTTACATTAAAAAATTAGTCAAGACATTTTTGCCAATTTTTCCATACTTTCTATTTGTGTACATTTTTTTTTCCTTCTTGGACCAATCAAGTTATCTTTAATTAGCTTAAGAGTTATACATTCAACTTTTGTTTTTATGGAAGTAGTCCTTAATTTAAGCTTCACATTCACATTTATTCATACATGTCAATTCTTTAAACATCTGAGTGTTTACATATCCTGCTTCATAAAACATGTATTTTAGCATAGTCACATAGCTGTTTGGTTTCTGTTATCCCTGTATATGAATTTTGATTTTGAATTTTAAGAATTTCTATTATCTTTTTCTTTTTTTTTTACTCAGCTTTCTTTGACAATACTAATGTTGACATGGAATGTGATAGTATTTTATCATCCTTATTTCCTATATCCTTTATAACAAAATCTCTAGCATTTATTAATTTATTAATAGCATCTTATTCCATTATGGGGTGTTCCAAAAGTCACCATACATAGGGAAATGGGAAATTGTAGCCTAATGTACCTTTATTTGCAAAATATTCATTACAAAATTTTACAGAATTTTTCCTTTGTATGGAGACTTTTGGGATACCCTGTATTTTCTCTAAGAGCATTTTTTTTTTTTTTTGAGACAGAGTCTCGCTTTGTTGCCCAGGCTAGAGTGAGTGCCGTGGCGTCAGCTTAGCTCACAGCAACCTCAAACTCCTGGGCTCAAGCGATCCTCCTGCCTCAGCCTCCCGAGTAGCTGGGACTACCAGGCATGCGCCACCATGCCCGGCTAATTTTTTCTATATAGATTAGTTGGCCAATTAATTTATTTCTATTTATAGTAGAGACGAGGTCTTGCTCTTGCTCAGGCTGGTTTCGAACTCCTGACCTTGAGCAATCTGCCCATCTCAGCCTCCCAGAGAGCTAAGATTACAGGCGTGAGCCACCGAGCCCGGCCTCTAAGAGCATTTTTAAAGTAGGTTGTTGTGTGGCAAATCTTTTGAAGACACTTGACAGAGTAGATTTTTATTATACTCTCTATTTAAATGATAATTTGGTTGCATATCAAATTCTAGTTTCAAAGTTATTTTATTCTAAAATCATATTCCATTGCCTTTTTCATCTAGTATTGGTGTTGAAATGTATAACGTCAGTGTGACTCCTATTCTTTTTAGATAATCTATTCTTCTCTTTGATATTCTTAAATATCACTATATTGTGTCTGAGTGAGTGTGTGTGTCTGTGGCACTCTGTGAGCACTTTTAATCTGAGGTCTTTTGTCTTTCTAAAATTTGGGGATTTCATTCTATATATTCTTTCACTCTCCTCTGGGACTACTATTTTCCAGATTTGGCAATTCTATTTTTATCGTCCATGCCTGTTTTTATTTTCTATCTCATTTCCTTTCCTTTCCCCTCTCAATACAATACTCTCATTCTCTAATTTGCCCCTAGGTTGTGTTCTAAGCAAACCTGGATTTTGGATGGTGGGGAGGCTGGGTTGGGGGTGGATGGAGAATATCTGTAGGGTGGGTACTGAATGTGTGAGGCACTCTGCACCAGTTTTAATCAACTCCACATCCCAGTGGGGTTTCTCAGCTACCAGTGACTCTACCCAGGCCGGCAGGGCAAGGAAACCAGCAGAAAAAGAAATAAAAGATGTAATTTCATATGATGATATGAGGCTCAAAGAAAGTAAACTATTAAAGGACTGTAGAAATGATGGTCAGGGAAAGCCTCTCTGAAAAAGTGACATTTGAACTGAGACCAGCACAGGAAGAAAGAACAAGTGAACAGTCCCTGAGGTGGGGAGCAACTTCTCATATTCAAGAGTAGCTGGAGCACAGGGGGTGAGCAGGAGATTTGTAGATGAATTTTCAAGCTACGCAGGAGCAGGGCCAGGTAGGATTTTCAAGGTCAGGTTATGAAGTTTCAGTTTAATTCAAAGTGTGAATGGAAGCCATTGAAGGGTTTTAGGAGGTCCTGGCAAGCCAGCTTCTGTCTGAAGAAAGGTGGTTACAAAGAAGATTAAAAAAAAAAAAAGGCAGTCATTTAAAATACAATGAATGAATATAGTTCTTAGCATGAAACTTTCATTGCCTCATCTTTCATGATCTGTGTTTTAACTTCATGTTGTTCTGGAAAATTAGATCAATGTCTTCAGCATTTCAGAATGTTGATGTTTGATCTAGATGTTCTTTTGTTATTATCTGACTGTCAATCTTCATCTTTCTAAACTCTTTATATATCACATCAACCTGGTAATAAATTATTTACATTGAATTTTCAATTTTTCTCAACTTAATGTGCACATTTATGCATGGACCATAAATGTTTTAAGCAGGCAAATGACTGAATTTCTTCAAATTTAGGGGGCTTTTCCTTTTTTCATTGCAGAGTTCCTCATAGTTCTCATCTTCACATGGCTCTCACTATAGTTTCAATTCTATATCACCTTCCTCCAGTCTACCTCACCTTAAAAAACAGACAGAATGCCTCTTTTCACAACCCAATGCTTAAGGCAGATTTTATATCATAAGAGAATTATGATGCCAGTATGGATAACTAAGTGGGCATCAGACATCCTTGCCCCTAAAGTCAGTAACCGCAGTCTATGAGACTCCCCTAAGGCAACTTTTCAAGATCTGTGAACTAGTCAATGATTGGGGTCATTTTCCATAATGAGTAAAATTAAATGGCCATTCTGATTTTCTTTGCAAAGCAGAATCATGTTCCATAATGGTGGTATGCTATTTCTACTATTTCTACTATTAACAGCTAGCAACTTTTATGTGCAGTCATTTTGCTAAAGTAATTTGAAGTTCTTCACTAGGCACCTCAAATTTTTTAAAAAATGAGACCATAGTGTCCATGTTCTTTTATCTCCTACTTTTTAAAACATAACAATGTGCTGTGAACCTTTTAAAAATTTCAATGAATACATTCTTAAAGCACGATTTTAAGTAATAATAACAACAATAATACCTTTTGGTCTTTTTGTCTACATGCTTTATGTTTATTTATTCATTTAATTCCCACAATTTAAAATATAGGTATTATTACTATGTACAAAGTTACATGGTTGAAATAGCCCAGTTTATAATTTCTAATGATAATAGCTAACATTTACAAAGGGCTTACAATGTGCTCGTCCTTGTGATAAATGCTTAACATAAATTATTTTATTTATCATTTTCATGATAATTCTATGAATTTTTCCCATTTGTTAAATGGGAAAACTGTTAGAGAAGTAAAGTAACTTGTATTAATTTTTATAGAAGCAAAGTAAATTCATAATAAATTAATAGTATGAAACCATAATTCAAACCCGGGCCAAAAAAAAATCAAGTCTTTAAAAAATATTACAGCAGATGTCACTGGATTTCTCCCATCATTGCAGTTCACAAGCTCTGGGAGACTTGATCCTAACCAGAAGCAAAGGTGTAATTTATTATCTGGCATGTGGAGCTTTCTGGAATGTGCAAAAACAATTTAAAAGTAAGTAGATTTTATTTTTAATTGGTTTTAGTTTGATGGAACACCAAATTTAAAAAAAGTAAAATGATGCCCTGGTTATTCTGAATTTGCCTGTCTTCTAATAGGGCCATTCTACCCCTTCCCTGCTGTGTGCTGGGAACTAAAATGCTCACCCCCCCCCCCCCCCCCGACTGAATGGATCCCCTGTGGTTTCCCAGGCCACAAAGGCTTAAAATAGATCTAGGGCAAAGTTGCCTGCTGGGAGGAGGGAGGTCAGACATGCCTTATCATGCCCTCCTCCCTTCTTGGAGACTTCCTTTGTAACCCATTAATAGGCCTAAGGGTATGCAAGACAAACCTGCAGGCCCTCAATTTGCAACAAATGGTGGCTTATCTCTGGTAAACAGTTTATGTTAAAACATTCCAGGTCTTTAGACAAAGCTTCATGTCTTTAGCCAATTACAATCTAAAGAACTTTTAAACCCCCCTATAACCTGTAAGTCCCGCCCCCCCTTCGAGATGGCCCTCCTTTTTGGGCCAAACCAATGTATGCCTCCCACACGTTGATTGATGGCTTTACCCATAGTGTATAAAAACCAAACTGTAACCCAGCCACAGCGAGTCCACTTGCCCAAGGCCTCTTGGCAGTGGCTCCAGGTCATGGTCCTCAAATTTGGCTCAGAATAAATCTCTTTAAAATTATTTTGCAGACTTTGGCTTTTTTTCTGTTGACAGTGCCTCGAAGCTGCCTGCCTGGTTTTTCCTTGGGGTTGGCCAATCAAAAGAATCAAGAATAAGGGAGAAGGAAGAGAAGTAAGTCAAGGCATTTTTTCCCTTCCCTTCTTCCATTCGTTGTGCCATGACTCTCACAGTAGCTGTGTCCTTCCACACTTACAGCTCCTGCTCTGGGGCCTTCTCCCTCTAAGTTGCCTTTCTCAAGGATCTCTGGAAATGCCACTTTTTTCTCTTGTCCTTTCAACCTCACATATAGCAATGACTTCCCACTGTTGCTGGTTTCTGGAAGTCTCAACACCTCTTTTTGTTGTTTTAATCCTGCTCACCCCTTCCGTAACTAGTCCCTTTATTACTCTTTTTATTAGAAACTTTAAGGAGGAGTTCTGTTTTTTGCCAGGGCCCTAACTGATTTTTCTTTTTTTAAAAAAGACGACTGATTGATTGATTGATTACATTTTGTAGTAACAGAGATCATGAAGGCAGGATATTTTGACATGGCACCATAAGGGCAGTCAAAATAAGAAGGATGTGGTTGTGCAGAAAGAACAAAAGAGATGCATTTACCTAGATAGATATTCCAAGAATTCACCTACTAGCAACGACATCCATATTGCACAGAAGTCCCCATAAAAATTTTCCTGGGAACTGCCAATCACAGTCAGCCACTAAAACAATATGGGACCAAGAAAATGGAGATGTTAAGTAATAAAAATGCTGTGAGATACTCCATAGAGACACTTCTGGCCTTTTAAGCCAGAGGAAGTGATGGATTTAGCAATATAGCTAGGAGAGATGAACTATGGAATTACAGATCAAACTTTACCCCCCCCCCCAGGCTAGCAGTGTGGAAACCTCCTATTACATGCTAATGCAGTACTATTGCATTGCTGTGGTAGGGGAAAATAACATTGCCATTTTCATTTAAATTCTCAGGAGAACCCGATCTAAGATTTATTAGGGCTTTCGTTCTAAGCAACAAGTTTGGGAATTAATATAATTTTGAACTTTAAGAAAGTTTCTTAGGCTGGGTGTGGTGGCTCATGCATGTAACTCTAGCACTCTAGGAGGCCAAAGTGGGAGGATCATTTGAGCTCAGGAATTTGAGACCAGCCTGAGCAAGAGTGAGACCCCGTCTCTACTAAAAATAGAAAAATTAGCTGGGCATCCTGGCGCATGCCTGTAGTCCTGGCTACTCGGTAGACTGAGGCAGAAGGATTGCTTGAGCCCAGGAGTTTCAGGTTGCTGTGAGCTGGGCTGATGCCATGGCACTCTAACCCAAGCAACAGAGTAAAACTCTGTCTCAAATAAATAAATACATAAATAAAAAGATATTGCTCAATGACTAATTCAAGTGTGAAGTCATTCTTGACATTCTGATTTCTAATCTCCCCAGATATAATTCATCACCTTTTTTGTTGTTGCTACTGACCACTACACATAGCCTTCTTCACTTTTTTCTTTTTTCAAAGTCTCTCTCACCTACCATACTGTAAGCTCTTTGAGGGCAGGTTTGGGTCTCATTTTTGTCCTTAACATCTAATATAGTACCTTGTCAGAATTTGCATGTACTAACACTTCTTGAGTGAATAAATAGATATCTTTTTAGTTCAACATATAATGTGACCAGTATGTAGGTTTTAGGTTCAGCTTTTCTAGAATTTAAATAATCATGTCCATTCAAATATTATAAAGAAGTCACCTAAGAATATTGAGGCAGATATTACTAATTGCCTAATCAATGTCTATTTTCCCTTTACTTTTATTAACAGAATTCTAATTTTTGGAGGGAAACAATGTATTGCATTTAAAATACTCTTCTTTTCAGACTCCTTGAAGCTAAGGATGGGGAAATTCATGTTTTCTAAATCTAGCCAATGTGATATAAGTGGAAATCTTTGAGGAAAAATGGGGCTTCTGGAACTTAGTTTATATGTATGATTGTGTGGTACATATATACAAATAATAAATTGGTGTAAATTTTTGCCATTCTATCTTCTTCTTCATTAAATGTGGATGCATTGCCTAGAAGTGTCAGGTTTCAGTCTGAAATGTCAGTTCTTGGCACTCTTATGGTCAAAGAATGACCAGACACCCCAAAGTAAGGCAAGCATGAAAATGAGGTGTATTGAGGAGAGAAAGATAGGATTTTAGAGTAAGAGCAAGATACAGACTTGCAGGGTGAGATACACACGCCACTGATGATTACCAGACCCATCGCTGTAGCAAAGGGAGAGCAAAAAGATGAGCACAAAAAAAAGGGCTTGGTTATGGTGGGCTGTGTCTTATTTTATAGTGCCCAGATTGGGAGCCCCCTAGTGGCTCAGACGTCACCATGGAACCATTTTGATCGGACAGTGGGGTTGAATGACCTGAGTCTTACTACACATGTGGGTTGTTCTAGGTTACTTCTGCACTGTATGATACCTATGCTGCTAGAGAGTCCTCTACATTCTTTTGCAACTGGCGTGCTAAGTTATGATTGGCAGATTCATGGGGTATCCCCTCCTCCCCCAAGCATGACAGTAGCTCAGGGCAGGATTAACGTGGAGCAGGACCAAGGTGGGGGCAACAGCACCCACTTTCATCCATAGGAGACCTGGAATCCCTTGCTATCTACCTAACAGAAGTATAACAGCCTCTCTGTCTCCTGTGCAGAAGTACCCTGGTTCCTTGCTCATCAGCCCTAAAAATGGCTTTCAACTTTATTCCTTGTTATGTGAGATTAAAAAAAAAAAAAAATCCTCACTTGTCTGAGCCATTGTTTGTCAGATTTCTGTAACATGCAGCTGAGTACAATCCTGAACAATTCAACAATGTAAGTCTCTTGGTAGCTTTCATTAACTTTTCACTTGTCATTGATTCTGTGGACAGGAAAATGGCTATGGGCCAAGATGCAGAAGGTTAACAAAGATTCTTAGTTATTCTGAAAAAAATTTCAAGTGTTGATTCAGTTGCCCCCCCTTCTTTTTAAAATTATAACTTAATGATCTGATTCCTTTTTTAGATAAACTTTATGCATAGGCCCTTCTAGTAAGTGATGACAGCTTCAACAGCGTGAAACAAGTGTGGCCTTAAGAGACAAATGATTCTGGTATGAAACTGCTGTCAGAGAAGAAGTGCTCAGTATAACTATAAGAAAACTAAAAGCACAGTCTGTGACAGACATTCCCCTAAGGCTGCATGGGTCACTTTTCAATAACTCCACATATTTAGAAAATGTATCTGGCTACCTAGATGGTAAAGATATTGGGCCAATAAAATATCCTGGCCTTTACTTTGGCCTTTATGATGTTTAGCTTTAATTCTACACAAAGATGTTATTGAGATTACCTATGACTGTGGTGCTATTATGGTACCACATCCTCTGAAAACGATCCAAGAAAAAACATACCATGCTGTTTCCTAGTGTGGAAGTGTATGGTTTCTGGCAAGCATTTTATCTAAAAGCCTTTTATTCAAAAGGCATTCGTAGGTAAAAACCGGTTTTCCCTGTATGAACTCTAGCAGTCTAGTTCTATAAAGAGGTAAGAGGGTCTTCCCCTTGGTGAGAAAAGGTCATGATTGATTGACAGCTCTACCCTCTTTTTGCCTGGTTTTCATGCTTATGGATCTACCTTTACAGAATACTAGCATCCACATTCCTTATCATTACAAATCACCTAAGATAATTTGCTCTCTAGTACCCAGAGTAAGCATTTATCAATACAATTAAAAATTGCTATTAGGCAGGATTGTTTACCACATCACACGAAAGGCTTCTTTCATGTTTTCTATTTCTGCTTGTTTTCTATTTTGATGGATCTTGCAGCACAGTGGCTCCCTCCGCCTCTCCCATCTTTTGCTTCCTAACTTCTTGAATCTACATTACAGAATTCCAACAGTTTACTGGTCTGCAGTTTAATTTGGGTCAGAAAACTGTAGTCAAAGGGAAGTGCTTTCAATTTACTCATGTAGGCATGCTCTGTTCAATCTTACTTGGATAAAGTTAAATAACGAGGCTACGTATTTGGATCTCATTAACTTTGGCTGAGATGTCCTGTCATACCAGCCCCTGACTTCTAACAAAGACAAATAAGAAATAGTTACATAGAATCCACTGGGTGCTTGTAGTAAAGCTGAGGTTGAGTATATTTCCCATTGCATCATTGTTAATAATTATAATTATTGCCCAAGACAGCATCTATCCCGCCTTCCCTTTTTTAACAGAATTCTGTTTTGTTACAGTATTCAGCTCTACTCCATAGTGTACGCAAACATTGGGGTAGCTGACTTTTCTTTCTCTTCTAGAGACTTATTGGTCTAAGGAGGAAGTATCTAGAAATCTAGCATTTTTCCTTTTTTTTTTTTTACTCTGTTTCATCACTCCATGCTAAAAATATCAACTTTTTTCTCAATCGAATTATATTTATTATTTAATTATTTGCTTTTATTAAAATATAACTATTTAACTATGAGCACACACGCGTGGTTGTCTGTAAATGTGTTTTATATATATCTTCCTTTGTTGGATAAATCCTTAATGCTTTCATCTACCTTCTTCTTCACTTAACAATATATCCTAGAGGTTACTTCATAAAAGTATGTAACTATTCCTAGAGCTTCTCATAGCTACATGATTCTCCATTGTGTGGATGTACATGAGTTTACTCAATCATTCCTCTATTGATGGACATTTAGTTTCTTTCAAGTCTTTAGCTGTTACCAATAGTCTCATGATAACTATATGTGTATCTGGTGCATATGTACCTTGCACATATCTCTTTTTGAAGATTTCCAGTGTATTTTTGAGACAAATTCCTAGAAGTAAAATTTCTGGGTTGAAGGGCAAATGCATTTGCGATTTTCATAGATATTGCCAAATTTCTCTCCATGTGTTACGTATCTTTTGCATTTCCATCAGCAATATATGAAAGTGCCAGTTTCCCTATAGCCTTTCCAAGAGAATATGTTCTCAAAATTTTGGCTATTTGCCCATATATTATGAAAAATGGTTATCAGTGTAGTGTTAATCACATTTTTCTTTTTACCAGCAAGGTTGAGTAGCTAAGAGCCAGTTGTATTTCTTTCACCGTGAACTG